GTTTGTTTTTATATGTGTTTGTATGTGTGTTTGTTGAAAATACCTAAAATCTAGCCTCTTAGTAAATATCCCATGTTTATCACAATATTATTAGCCACAGTCTTTATGTGGTGCATTAGATCGCCCGGCTTACTCGTTCTATGTAATGGATACTTAGTGCCCTGATACACATCTCCCTTTGTCCTTATATTATTATTCATCCATGGTAACTATTTCTTTCGTTCTTTCTTTCATTTTTATTTTTTTAAATTTTATTGTAAAGATGATGTACAGAGGGGTTACAGTTACCTAAGTCAGGTAATGAGTACGTTTCTTTTTGAACAGTATCACCGCTTCTCTTTCATTCTCTCCCAGTATTTCCCCTCCAATCTTCCCTCCTCCCCAAAGTTATATAGTTTATTTCTATGGATTTCACTGCTGAATTAGTTCACTCTTTGTCCCACCATTTCTGTGCTTCCCCTTTCCCTCCCCAAATCAGATAAACTTACATACAAGACAAAGGGTACAGAAATAAAAAACAGCAACAGAAGAAATAAACCAAAGAAAAAAGAAGAAAAATGCAAACAGTATAATAAAAAGGCCTCTTCATTTCTTGGAGTTCATTTTGATAAGCATTGTTTTATATGATCTTTTGCACATAGCTATTCAGCCCTTGCGATCCTCTCCAAGGAATATCCTCTTTTGTTCTCACTGTGTGAAGGATGGCCTTTTCATCAAGTGGTTCTGGCAGAATTGGCTATGCATGTGCAGAAAACTGAAGTTAGATCCTTATATATCACCCTGCACAAGAATTAGCTCCAAATGGATCAAAGACCTCAAGGTAAAACCAGATACATTGACAATATTACAGGAAGGAATAAGGGAAGCACTAACACACCTTGGCACAGGTTGATACTTCCTAAGTAAAGATACAGAATCACAACAAATCAAAGAAAGACAAGATAAGTAGGATTGCATCAAACTGAAGAGTTTCTGCATGGCAAAGGACAGCAAGATAAATAGGAAGCCTATAGAATGGGAGAAGATCTTCACTAGCTATGCATCAGACCAGGGCCTCACATCTAAAATATATTCAGAGCTCAAATAATTCATGTTTTGAGGGAACAGGGTTTGAATTCAGGGCCTCAAATTTACTAGGTGGGCTTGCTTCCTCTTGCTTGTTCCACTACCCAAGACATACCTCCAGCTGTCCTTTTTGCAGGTTATTTTGGAGACGGAGTCTTGCAGACTTTTCTGCCCAGGCTGGCTTTGGACTGCCATCCTTCAAATCTAAATCTCCTGGCTATCTAGGATTATAGGTATGAGCCACCAATGTCTGGTCAGTAAACACTTTTCTAGTCTGAGTTTCTGTGTACTTGTTTTGTTTGTTTACTTGTATTTGGCTTATTCACTCCACAATCTCTACCAGATTCATCCATATTATGGAAAATGTCAGGGTCTCCTTTTTCAAGTCTGAGTATTATTTGTGTGTGTGTGTGTGTGTGTGTGTGTGTGTGTGTAAGGTTTTAATCCATTAGTATTCATTTAGGCTTATTTCCATACGTTGGCTACTGCAAATAATGTGTGAGAGTTTTGTGTGCTGATTTTATCACTGCTGGATGTGTTGTTGGAAGAAGGAGCACTAGGTCACACTGTAGTTGTATCTTTTTTTTTTCTTTTTACTTTTCCTCCTTTATAAATGATCTTCCTTACATTCAGCTTTCCAAGGTTGGAAGTTTTTATTTTTAATTCTTCATTGACCCTCATCCTGTTTTCTTCAGTGCCTGTACCACATCCATTTCCACCAACAGTGTCCCAGGCCCCTGTCTTTCAGCCTTGCCAACATTGCCTATCTCTGGTTGTCTGGGTGGAACCATTCTAGCCAATGTGAAGTGTTATCTCTGGTAGTTTGGTTTCCATTTTCCTGGTGGTTAGTCACACACTAATCTTTCCATATCCCTACTGGCCATTTTTCTTTCCTCTTTTGAAAAATATTTACTCAGGTTCTTTGCCCATGGAAATGTATGAGCTCCTTAGGTATTTTGGATATTAACCTCTTAGCTGATACATGCTGCATAGATATTTTCTCCCATTCCTTTGGCTGCCTTCTCATTGTGTTGATTGTTTTTGTCGAAGGTATTCGTTTTGCTATGCAGAAATGTTTTGCTTTGATCTGGTCCTATTAGTTTATTTTCTCTTTGGTTGCATGCTATTAAAAATTATATTTTAGGGCTAGGAAGGTGACTCAGTGGTAGAGTGCTTGCCTTGCATGCATGAGGCCCTGGGTTCAATTCCTCAGTACCACAGAAGCAGAAAAAGATGGAAGTGGCGCTGTGGCTCAAGTAGTAGAGCACTAGCCTTGAGCTGAAGAGCTGAGGGAGAGCACCCAGGCCCAGAGTTCAGGCCCCATGACCGGCAAAAAAAAAAAAAAAAAAAAAGTTATATTTTTAAAAAGGCTAGTGTTGAGGAACTTCTAGGAGTTTTATCATCTTGGGTCTTACATTTAGGTCCCTCACTACACCAAGCCTTTTCTGCTGAGTTGGGATTTTGTGAACGTATTTTGGCCGGACTGGTCTGAGCTACATTCCTCCTGAGCTCAGCCTCCCAAATCAGTAAAATGGCAGGCACACAATACCACACTCATTTTTGTTGAGAGAAATCTCTTGAATTTTGGGCCAGGCGGGGCTTGAACTGTTATCTTCCTAATCTCAATCTCCGGAGTAGATAAAATTATGACAAGCTTCTGGTTCCCTGCTGGGTAAATATGTTTAAAATATAGACATCAGGATATTTCATTTCCTGAATGTTCTTATGATATGCTCCAGTTCAGATTTCTGCAAGTTGTTAGTGTAGACACTTGGACCAACCATAGACTCCAGGCTGTAAGAATCTAAGTCATTTGAATGTTGCTATTTTCTACCAAGTCTGTATATTCCACATTGGACAGTATATGTGATAAGAGGTGAAATACAGTCACAGGGTGCTACTTTGATCATGCATTCTATCTTATTTCTGACATTCCCGGAGTTAATGAATACCAGAAGCATTATGTCTCTTAACTATGTAAGAAACTAATCCCACCCCCCTTCATCTGGCTTTTTCAAATCTATGGTATTTTTTTTTTAATATAGGAGGTTTATCTTTTTCACAGCAAAATATATCAGTACCAAGAACCATGATCACTTGGTAATGAGGTTTAGAGCTTTTGAAGCAAAGAAGCCCAAGTCTAAATCCTGTCTCCATGCAGTATCAGCTGCTTGACTTTGGCATATTGCTTAATCTTTCAAGGCTACAGATTTTTCATCCATAATGTGATCCTCACAATACTAAACCTCACAAGATTAACATTGTGCATGCAAGGAAGTTACCTCAGGGCTGGAAAGTAATAAGTGCATTCAGAGTACCTTTTTATCATTTTCCCTATAGTTATGCTTATTTTCTGACCGGTCTTCTTTACTTCTGTAACTATTTCCCTACACTGACTATAGGATTTGATTTTTGTTGTTTGGTGGTACTAGGGTTTGAATTCAGGACCTCTTGCTTGCTAGGCAGGTGCTCTATTAGTTCAACCATATCCTCAGTGTCCTACATTGTCTTCACAATTTAGTCTTTTCACCACTAATTTGAAATGCAAAGTCTCTCAAATATGCACTTTGTATGTTCTTGAATTGATGAACTTTGTAATGTTACTTAATTATTTTATTTTAGGCATTTTTGAGACAGTCTCACTGTGTAGACCAGCTTAGCTTTGAACTCACTGTGTAGCTCAGGTTGGCGTGAAACTCAAGATCCTCCTGCCTCAGCCCCTGTGTACTGGGATTACAAGTGTACAGCACCATGCCTAACTTACAGTTTTAAATGTACGTTTTCATATGGATAAGTCACGTTTCTCCTACCCTTTCTATTCCGCTCCCCTCTCCTACACTTTCCTTTTACTCTTAAAAAAGAATTTAAAAGTTGGACACATAGTGGCTACTCAGGAGGGGGAGATCAGGTTCATGGTTCAAAGCCAGCCCAGGCTGGAAAGTCTGTGAGACTCTTATCTCAGATTAACCACCAGAAAACTAGAAGTGGCACTGTGCCTCAAAGTTGTAGAGTGCTAGACTTGAGCCAAAGAACTCAGAGACAATGCCCTGGCTGGATTTCAAGCCACATGACTGACAAAATATAATGATAATAATAATAATAAATTTAAAATGAACATTTAAAGCTTTCAGTATGAGAGCATGGTATGTCTTCCATTTAATTAAGCTTCCTTTTATAAGTCACTACTTATTCCCCCTTCTGCACACAGCTGGTCAATCCATGTCTTCGCATGTTTACTTGGATTTCTGTTGTAATCACTACTAATCATGTCTTCTGTCTCAGTTTTCAGTGGTGTTTTAGGAAGTGCGTCGTTTCTCAGGCTTCGTAGGCAGCGCATAGGAACACATCTGCAGCTATTAAATTTACGTCTCCTTAAAAAAAAAATCTTATTTCACAATGGGAAGCATCCTGCACAAATATCAAATGGTGAAAAATACCAGGCTGAAAAGAGCAGTAAAGTTGGATCTGATTTCATTTCCACTGCTCAGACCAGGACATGAGGGGGGCGGGCAGGGGGGCGAACAGTGGCTAATTTGCTTCAATACCCATGCTCCAGCACAAGTCTCTACAGTCCTGCGGGGGTGCAATGTCTGGTTTGGGAGAAGAGCCGCCAGAAGCAGCTCCTTTCCAGGTTGTTTCCAGGTGTCACCGCCGGGGAGGCCCGCGCGGGGGCGCTGTGGCCACGTCCAGGTTGCCGCGCGGGGGACACCCAGTGTCACCAGGCGGTGCCACCAAGTGCCAAAGTGGGTGTGGGTCCGGGCTGCGGGCAGGGGTGGGGCGGGCAGCCCAGCCATACAAAACAAATAAACAAACAGCAACCAACAACAGGATGGGGAGGACCTGCGGGAGCCATTCGAAGTGGCGGCGCGGGCGGGCGATGCGCGGGGCCCCGCGGGCGCGCGGCGGGACCCGGGCCCGCAGGCGGTGAGCGGACCATGAAGCCCAATGGCAGCGCGCTGCTCAACGCCTCGCAGCCGGCGCCGCCCGACGGCGCGGGGGCCGGGCGGCTGCGACCCTCCTGGCTGACGTCCACGCTCGCCTTCATCCTCATCTTCACCATCGTGGTGGACGTCCTGGGCAACCTGCTGGTCATCCTGTCGGTGTACCGCAACAAGAAGCTTCGCAACGCAGGTAGGGGTTCCCCGTGTCACCCCTCGGGGACACCCGGCCCGGGGCGCAGCCGCCTCTGCCCTTAGAAAAGTTAGGAGGGAGGGAAGGGAAGGAGGGAAGGGGGGAAGGGGGGAAGGAGGGAAGGAAAGAAGGAAGGAAGGAAAGAAAGAGAGGAAGGAAGGAAAGAAAGAAAGAGAAAGAAAGAAAAGATAAAAGAGAGGAAGGAAGGAAGGAGGGAGGGAGGGAGGGAGAGAGGGAGGGAGGGAGGGAGGGAGGGAGGAAGAGAGAGAAAGAAAGAAAGACAGGCAGGAAAGAAAGAAGAGAGACGAAGGAAGGAAAGAAAAGAGAGAGGAAGGAAGGAAGGAAAGGAAGAAAGGAAGGAAGGAAGGAAAGAAGGAAGGAAGGAAAGAAGAGAGGGAGGGAGGGAGGAAGGGAGGGAGGGAGGGAAGGAGGGAGGGAGGAAGAGAAAGAAAGAAAGAGAGAGAGAAAGGCAGGTAGGCAAGAAAGGAAGGAAGGAAGGAAGGAAGGAAGGAAGGAAAGGAGGGAGAGAAAGAGACAGAGAGAAAGAAAGAAAGGAAAAAAAAAGATTTTCTCCAAAAACTGAGCACTTTAGAGGAAGTGGTTGGCTTTTTTCTTCAGCCTGACCCAAGTGCTTTTTAACAACAAAAGTGTTCTGTCCCAAACACTTAGAAAACGTGGCTTCCCTTCAGTAGAGTTTTGCTGTTGTTTTGGTTGTTTCTGGAAGGGACATCCTGTGGACTTCCTTTTCAAAAGACACAAATTACTTTTCCTAATACACAAACCGGTGGAATAAAAAGTGTGATTGGTTTAGTTTTGTTGTCAGGAGCCCTTACTTTTTTAGTTATTAGTATATAGTTGTAAGGCCCCTAAGTATGCTTTAGAAAGCAGGTTTGCCATTGCAAGTCTACAGCTGGCATTTTGAAACTAGTCCCTGTGGGAAAGACACAGAGACGTCCAACCACAGCTAGTGTTGTGCTTGAGCTGGACCTGCGTTTTCTCCCAGCAGCGGACTGAAATCTGTTTCTTGGGGTGGGGGGAGGTAGAGGAATGTGGCTTCTGTAACAGTCATTGCCATTCCTACCTCTCAATCCATGCTGAGATGCTTCTTTTCCTGGCCTGACTTTGGAAGCAAAGTGTTGGGAACAGGCATGGTGTTCCAAAAGTTCTATCATGTGCTAAGGTAGATGGCTTATAGAAGCTCTGATTTTGCTTAGATCCTTTTGGGGAAAGATTTCCTCCTCCTGGTTTTTGTTTTCTATAATGCTTGTGGTAGTGCATAGTTTCAGAATTATTTAGTAAGCATCTTATCATGCAAGTGAAATCTGAGGGAGAAGCTTAAGTCACTTCACTTCATAGTTGACTGGCTTAAACTAGAGAAATTCTGCCTTCAAAGGGGTGGTAGAGTGGGTTTGTCTTCCTTCCTAGCTATAAAAGCACATATGGTCCTGAGCACTAATAGAGTAAATCTGTGGTTCGACCAATGATGGGGTGCTGTTCTGACTTCCATTGCAGGGAGGACCTGTGGCTGCAAGTTGGGCTTGCACATCCAGTGTGGGCAGGTTTGATTCACAGAGCTTGAGCCACTTCAGTTGTCATTAGTAACTGAGCAACTTAACTTCTTGTGTTTTATGAAGGGGCTCCTATTCTGTTACCTTCCGTATTTGCTAAGCAATATGTTGATTGGGAGATCTACTAGGTCCATAGTCTTCTAAGTCCTTAATGAGCTTTTCTCACGAAGCCTTTCAACTTTTACATTTTTTTTAAATGAGTGAGATATTTGGTCTAAATGCACCACTGTTGAAGTACAACCAAAACCACTGCTGTTGGAGGCTATTTTAGAATAGATGGCTATTTGATAGAATGTTAGAGATTGCTGATTCAAATACGAGCTCATTATGAATTGTGACATGGTTCAGACCTTCCTTTTTAGTTATGTTTATTTTGCTGACTTTAAGCTGAAAAGAGAGAAAAAGAGATTGGAAAAAATTCCCCTATCTAGGCTTTGCAATAGTTCTTTTTGTGTAGACATCTGTTATAGGTGACTGCAGAATGACTTGGTCCTCCATGTCCCCCAAGGGCAGCTTTTGATTTCCCTGGGAAGAAGTTAGCAATAATTAGTGACCCACATGGGGATACACTGGCCACTCAGGCTCCAAACCACTAGAGTCTTAGGTGCTGGCACAATATTTGCTCTGCTCCTGTCCAATTTTGAGTACTAGGATCAACCACATTATGCCTTCTGGCTGGATACCATCGCACCCGGGAGAATCAATGCAGTGGAACTCTGGGAATGTAATCTTGCTATCTGACTTTTGACTTAAGAAGTAGTCATTATCCCAACCTGAGGCAGAAGGAACACATGGTCATTTTAGCCCTCCATGGTGTCTAACTGCAGCTGTTGCAATTTCCTAGAGAAATGATACTTTGACAAAAGATGAAACATATTGTTATGTGTTTGGGTTTTATTGATTTTAACTTGTTAAAATTGAGCTTAAGAAAGCCTGTATTCAATTTTCTATCTATCTATCTATACACACACACACACACACACACATTATACTTAAAACTTTTGCTAAAAAAAAAAGTCAAAGCTCAACAGAATAAATACCAAGAAATGGATACCTGCAAGAGGAGAAGATAGGGCTAAGGGGAGATGGGTAGAAGAATGAAGGGGGCTGGGAGGAGGATGCAGGCAAGAAGTCATTGTATATACTACAGGGAAGGGATGGGTCAAAGGGAGAGGAAGATATTGAAGTGCGATACAGATCAAGATGCATTGTACCCCAAACTGCTTTGTTAAATGGCAAACACATTAAATATATAACCCAAAATTAAGATAAGCAAGGAAAGGGATGGATTGGGAGGGTTGGGTGAGAATGTTGAAAAGGGTGATATTGATCAAGATGCACTGTATCCATCAGCTGCTTTGGTGAATGGTGTCTCCTTTATACAACTATTTAATGATAATATATATATATATATATATATATATATATATATATTTTGTCGGTCGGAGGTCTTAAACTCTGGGCCTGGGCACTATCCCTCAGCTCTTCAGCTCAAGGCAAGCACTCTACCACTTGAGCTACAGAGCCACTTATGGTTTTCTTGTGGTTTATTGGAGATAGGAGTCTCACGGTCTTTCCTGCCTGAGCTGGCTTTGAACCGCAATACTCAGATCTCAGCCTCCTGAGTAGCTAGGATTACAGGTGTGAGCCACCAGCTCCCAGCAAAAATATTTTTTTTAAGCAGATGTTCCAATAAAGATGTGCAGAGGTAGATGTAAAAAAGATGTAAAGAGTGCAGAGGTAGATGTAAAAAAAAATAAAGCAAGAATATAATATCTATCTTTTTAAAATTCATTTATCTGGCACTCTAACCTGTACAAAGATTATGGGGGGGGGTAGAAATTAGAAAAAAGGACAGGGTCACATCCCTAGACAGTCTGTTTGAACATAAAATTCCATAGAATTCTGATTTTCCCATCTAGATCCCAAGATTATACACAGTAAGTGAGCAAAACCATTGATTCACAGGAACACCCAAGGGCACTAACAGCACACTTGAAGCCAGTGCATTAAAAGCAGGCTGAAAATGAGCAGGCGTCCTGGTTTGTGGGTACCTGTGACAAAGCCGATGGCCCTGGCAACACTAGCTTCTTCTGCATGTGATGCGATACAGCAACAGTGTATTGAGTGTGACCTGCTCCATCTAGGAGATATCTATCAACAATATATTCTTGGAAGACAGGGTCAGAAGACATATTGAGAAACATATGTATCTAAAGCAGGTCCTCCTCCTCCTTCTCCTTCACCTCCTCTTTCTCCTCCTCTTTCTCCTCCTTCTCCTCTTCCTCCTCCCCCCTCCTCCTCCTCTTCCTCCTCCTCCTCTTTCTTCCGCCTTTGCCTTCCCCTCATCTCCCCATCTCCCCTCCCCCTCCCCCCTCCTCCCCCTCTCCTCCTCCTCCTCCTCCTCCTCCTCCTCCTCCTCCTCCTCCTCCTCCTCCTCCTCCTCCTCCTCCTCCTCCTCCTCCTCCTCCTCCTCCTCCTCCTCCTCCTCCTCCTCCTCCTCCTCCTCCTCCTCCTCCTCTTCTTCTTCTTCTTCTTCTTCTTCTTCTTCTTCTTCTTCTTCTTCTTCTTCTTCTTCTTCTTCTTCCTATTTAAAATGGATGCATTATGGGGTAAAAACACTGTCAGTAATTGTAACCTTTCCCAGATGTCTGTGTAACCAGAGTACTGACCATGTGCTATGCCACCCTGTCCTCATTTCTTTCAAGTCCACCTAGACTGGTGCCCTGCTTCACCTCCTAGACTATGAGGAGAGTTGGCATTCTCCCCTTCAGAGGTCTAGATTCCTGCCTTGGGTGCACCAAGCTACTATAATATACTCTAGGTGCTAGGTGTAACTATTAAAATTATTTTTTAATTGAAACATAACCTACACATGGGAAAGTTTATACTTAATGTCTTCTTATGGATGTGACATACACTTTTCAGAAAAGACTTGGTAAAAGGGAGTGTGGACAGACAGTGGTACTATTACCCACTTGACTTGAACTTATACCGACTCCAGAGCCTCTCAGCTATCAACCCTCATCTTTTTTTACTGTTACCCTACGTAGGGAAATTGTTGCCTGTGATGAGTTGGACTTGGCTTGGATCTATGGCATAGTTAATGAAGGCTGAGATTCACAGCTTCTCCATTCCCTTAGAGCCACAGCACCATACAGCTCCTCATGAGTCAAGTGATCCTGCGAGGAAGAAGCGTGTTAGATCACACAAGGGGAGCATGGAAGAAGGAGGGGATTCCGGGGATTATAGAGGACACCTCATTTATTCGTTGTTTTACAGAGCTTCATGTTGATGTGCTTCCAGAAGACGTATGAGCTTCTCTTCAGTTCCAATGTTCTTTCATTCTCATGCCCATCCAATACACTACTTTATTCATTATAATGTAAAGAAGGTAACCAGAAAGTGGGTGCAGGGGCTCAAGCCTGTAAT